TCGGCGCCAAACCTGGCATGAGGGTCACGGGTCCTGAAGCAAACGGGTCCTGGACCCCGGGAGGACGTTCCCGGCCTTTTGACACCGAGTCGTGTTCTGGCTGCCCTGGGGCCCGAAAAGCCCGAGCACGGGGCAACGAGAACCCAGGACCCGTTTCCCCAAGGACTCCCTTGCTTCATCCATGACGACTCAGGTACATCGGCCCCCGAATCATGACAACTCTCCATGGTGCGCGTCCTGACCAAAACCGGCCGTGGCGACGAGGAGCCTCCCGGAGGCCTCAACAGAACAGGAATCCCGCGCGCACCCATTCCCGCACCACCTGCTTGCTTCCGGGGGTGAACCCAAAGGTACAGATGCACCGCCAAGTGCTCCCTGAACCTTGAAGGCGACCCAAGGCCACCCCCACACCCACCACATCACATGGAGGAGGAGGAGGAGGAGGAGGGGTTAGGAGTGTAGGGGAGGAGGGGGAGGGAGGAGGAGGAGGAGAGAGGACGGAAGGGAGGAGGAGGAGGAGCCCAGCGGCATGGTTCGTGTGAGCCAGTGGGGCGACGGCCGTCGTCAGCGGCATGTGCTCAAGGAAAGGCCCCTGGCAACTTACGAAACATGCGCCAGCCGAGGGCCGGGAGAGACATGAATATACAAACACAGCGCGTTTCTCAAACACCCGCAACGTTTATTCAAAAAACTGCCGCGCACGAAAATGCCTGGGACATTGCTCGAATCGCGCCATCGCGCGCGTGCAGCGGCGCAATGGTATAAACGCAAAGCGCGTGTATAAAACACGCGAAACTGTTTTACAAAAGCGAAGACGGATTTATGAAACGAGCTGTGAAACCAAAAAAAACGTGATTCGCAATCGTCGCCGCGGGGACGTGCCGACTAAGTCCGCAAGAGTTCCCGAAAAACTGTAAAAATCAGCCTGATGGTGTGGGGGGGGTTGTTCTCTGGAGACCTCTCCCCCGGTGCGTTCGCACCAGAGATCGAGGCGATTCCAGCGGTGGCGACCAGGGCCTCTCAGGAGGCCCCAAAATGCGAAAACGAGGAAAGGGCAGCGTTATTAGAGGCCAGATGGGGTCGGAGCACATGGGGTCGGAGGATCGCGCCGCATCGCCGATACATCGGCGATGCATCGGCGATGCATCGGCGATACATCGGCGATGCACTGGCGATGCATCGTCGACGTCGGCGATGCATCGGCGACGTCGACGTGAAGCAAATCGGGCTGTACATTGAGCCGCATCGGCGATGCATCGGCGATGCGGCGCGATCCTCCGACCCCAGCTACTCGGACCCCATCCAGGAGGCCCAGATGCTCTGAGCTTAGGTCGGGCCTGTCCCCCTACATGGGGATGCTGGACGACAAATACAAAAAAATATTCCAGCAGCATGGTGAAAAAAAAGGAAAAACAACAACAAAGCAAAAAACATAAAAGACAACAACAACAACAACAACAACAACAACAACAACAACAACAACAACAATCATTTTACCCGAACGCTCAGTGTTCTCCCCAGTGCCAGGGTTTTCTTGCGACACCAGCCAATACCCCCACTTCGTTGGGGGGCCGTTCAAGCTCTACCAAATATCCAAACGACTCTTCGAGACCACCCACACCCAGCTTCCCGCCCTATGACGTTGGGACACTTTACTTCGTGGCGTGCGGACGACCCTGGCTACTACACTGGCGTGGGGTACACACCCACAGAGGTTGATCACATCTGTTACATATGATGTGGTACACGGTACACGTGAGATGGTACGCAGTGCCAAGATAGTTGGTCACATTTTTGGGGCAAATTCGTGGGGATGCGATTACAGAAGTACATGTGTTACACTGATGTGATACAGTCCCAAGGATGACGCATGCATTGCTCATAGACTCATGGCGCTATGATCCTAACTCTCAGTGCCCAACGCGCGCGTGCACAGCCAGACGGAGGGAGAGAAACACATGTATACAAGGTTCGTGACATACGCACGGTCCACCATGTTGTAAACGATCGCATGCACGGTAAGTTCTGAAATTATACGTATGTACAAGCAGGTGGCGGATGGCAGAGCCGTGCTGCTCCTCCAGCTCCTTGGCGTTAGAAATACTGACCGTGCCAGTCACAACCCGATACTTGGCCCACCAAGTCTTGCACGCCTGGTGACTAGCATTGATACCTTTTGCCCGGAGCGCCTGATGCAAATAATACGCACTCTCGCAGTCGGCCAAGGGAGGCCGCGACAGCTCAGGGCCATACTGCTCGTGAAGGTCTTTCGCCGTCAAAGCCATGATCCAAGAACACAGGCGATACCTTGATCCGAGATGGCTACGGATATGAGCGTGAGAGGAAGGGGGGACGCCTCCTGGGGCCGCTGGGGGTCCTCTTGGGGAAGGGGGGAAGCCTCCTGGCGCCGCATGGGGTCCTCTTGAGAGGCTTTGGGGGGCTTCTTGAAAGCATGTTGGGGCCTCTTGGGGGCTTATTGGATCCTCCCGGAGGACTCGTGGAGCCGCTTGGACGCCTCCTGGGGCCATCTTGGGAACCTCTTGGAGCCAACTTGGAGCCTCTTTGGAACCTCTTGGGGGCCTCTTGGAGTCCTCTTGGGGCCTCTTGGGACCATCTTGGGCGCCTCTTGCGGCCTCATGGGCGCCTCTTGGGGCCATCTTGAGCGCCTCTTGGGGCCATCTTGGGGTTTAAAGATTCATGAAGAGCCCGCGGGTGGATTTTGATATTTTTCGGATGAGAAAGTCTTGCGTTTGCATATGTTTTCGGAACATCGCATCTTGAAATTTTTGAAATCACATTATGTTTGGCAGGATTTCGGCACGCGCGCGCGGCGGCCGCGCGCATGTGCACTTCGTGTCATTTTTTGCAAGGGATGGTGGCCCTCGTAGGCTCGCAACCGTTGTTGCAGAAGGTCGAAGCACCTGAAAAGGTTCCTCGCAAAGGCCCTTTTTAACAGAAATGTTTAAAATCTGGTGGGTTTCCTAGGAATCCGCAAGAGCGCGCGGAAGGACATTTTGACAATTTTTTCTGAGAAAACCATTGGGTTTTTGATGTTTTTATGTTAAAATCGTTACGAATTTGGGGGGGGGGGGTTTTGGGGGGGGGTAACTAAGCTTTTGGAAGGATTTCGTCTTGCGCGCGCGAATGTCCACTTTACCTTAATTTTTGCAAGGTGGATTTATTCTTGCCAATTTTGATATTGATCAAGTAAAAAAACAAGACATTTCACTTTTCTATTGTTTTTTGCAAAGGGGGAAAACGAGCGTCAACAAAAAACCGGATCCGGAGCTCATCCACTTTTCTGAAGCTTTCGCGAAAAAATGATGAAAATGTAGCTGCGGCCTATGCGCGGCGCAGAGGTCGCGCACCAGGGGTCCCAACAATAATAATTCTTTAGAAGGAATAATGTTCAACAACAACAACAACAACAACAACAGCAGCAGCAGCAGCAGCAGCAACAACAACAACAACAACAACAACAACAACAACAACAACAACAACAACCACAACATCAACAACAACAAAAAAACGTGTCCTGACTACTTTTGAACTATGTTTGAACACTCCTCCTGTAGAGGGACACGCCCGACTTAACTCTCAGCTTGCTTCATGGCGACACGACGACGACCGGCGCTCGGCGGGCCTGTTGTCCACCACCACCACCACCACAAGTTGGAGGGGGAGGGGGTCCTCCTCCTCCTCTCCCTCTCCTCCGCTCTCCTCCTCCTCCTCCTCCCCCCCTCCTCCTCTCCTCCTCCTCCTCCTCCTCCTCTCTCCTCCTCCTCCTCCTCCTCCTCCTCCCTACTCCTCCTCCTCCTCCTCCTTCATCCCTCCTCCTCCTCCTCCTCCTCCTCCTCCTCCTCCTTCCTCCTCCCTCCTTCCTCTCCTCCTCCTCCTCCTCCTCCGCCCGTCCTTCTTCTCCTCCTCCTCCTCCTCCTCCTCCTCTTCAAGCAGGAAACAGACTGCTCGGCACACCAATCTGCTCGGACCCCGCCCAGGAGGCCCAGATGCTCCGAGCTTGCTTCACGGCGACGCGGCGACGACCCGCGCTCGGCAGCGCACGGCGCACGGCACGGCGGCGGTCGACGGCACGCGAGGGCGCGCCCGCGCCTGCCGCGCGGAGTCCGCCGCGCCAGGGTCGGCGCGCAGGGTGAGGACAGACCTGGCGCGGGGGCCTCCTCCTCCTCCTCCTCCTCTCTCCCTCCTCCCCCCTCCTCCTCCCCCTCCTCCTCCTCCCCCTCCTCCTCCTCCTACCCCTCATCCCCCTCCTCATCCCCCTCCTCCTCCTCCTCCTCCTTCTTCTCCTCCTCCACCTCCTCCTCCAAGGGGCCTCCAAGGGTTTAAGGGGCCTCCAGGGGCGGGGAAGAGGGGGCGGGGGGGGGGAAGCGGAGGTCTCAACGGCTGCTCAGCGCCTCCCACGTCCCTGGCGGCGCTCAGAGGGCGCAGCGCGAGGTGGCGCGGCGGGAGCGGCCTTGAAAGGAGCCAGGGGGGCTTCTCTAAGAAGAAGGCAGGAGCCTTCGTGGAAGCCCTCCCGGCTTCTGCGGAAGCTTCTGAGAGGCCCCTGGGCCCTGCTAGGGTCTACGACGGACCCTGCCTTCTGAGAAGCTCCTCGCCTTCTTCGAGAGCCACCCCCCTCGCGTCACCCCCCCGCGCGCTCCACCGACCTCCGCATCCCCGTGCCCAGCGGTCAAGGGCCTCACAGTGGTGTGGGGGGCCCGCGCGGACCGAGCACACACGGCCCGGCATCCCCCGCGCGCGCGCCCATCGTCAGACCGATCCCCCGTGCCCAGCGGTCAAAGACTCCTTAGCGCCTCCAGCCTGGATCCTCGAGGCAGGGACTGATGCCGCGAAACCCGATGGAGACTGCATCTGTCCTCACCCCAGGCGCTAGGTCGGACAGCCGGACCATGGCTTCCCAGTGAGGATGGGGATAGGTATAACGGTGCTGACCTAAGAAGAAGGCAGCAAGTTCGGACCGCAAGGAATCGGGAATTCAAGAGAGCCGCCGGGTCAGGAAGCTGTATTGGGCGCCGCGGCCAGATCAGAGCGTTCCGGGACGCTCTGAGAGCGTTATGACACGCTCTGGAACGACGGCACTGCTTTCTTGGATCGACGATGGACCCCCCTCCCTCGGCGTGCGAAGCGTGCTAGGGCTGTCGCCAGAGATGCCTTCAGAGGGCGTCCAGGGCCGTCCCAAGATATCCGCACGGACCTCCGAGAGCCTGTGCTCAGGTAATGATGATGTCGTCCGAGCTATCAAACACAGCACAACGAGCGGTCGTGTTCTGGCCACCGACCCATTGGTCACCTGACTTCGCGCATGGTATCGCAGGATGCACGACGCGCGGTTGTCTTTGAGCTACGCAGCCAGAGCGCTTGGGAGCGCTCTTAGGGTGGGCAAGCGAAAAATACCGATTCCGCTACTTTCCCTGGACACATCCTAGGGTCCGCTCTGACCAGAACTTCGAGCAGATTCCTACCGTGGCGAGAAGTGCTCTCCAGGACAGGCAGCAACATCGGTAGATGTTACTCCTTTGATCGGGCAGGCGTAATACTCGGGTTCGGGGGACTCCGGCTGGCCTAACGGGGCCATCAGGAAAATGACTAAACCCGATGCAAACGTCCCACGAAAACTGGACCGTCAAATTGAAGACGGCCCGTCAAGAAACGTCGGTAAACCTGAGATCAGGCGAACTCGAGTCTCACGTTTCCCCAATCTCAGAAAGCATCCTGGAGCGCTCTGGAACCACTAATCCGCATCCCACGGTCCCACGCCTGCCCGAAGCGCCCGCCCGTCGCCAAGCTCCCGATGGCGCCGTCGCCGTCGCCGCCGCTGTCGTAGCCACCGCCGCCACCGCCACCATCGCTGTCATCGCCGCCGCCGCCGCCATCGTCGCCGCCGTCGTCGCCCAAGAGCCGCCATCCTTGCCGCCACATCGTCGGCGCCATCCGAGCATCGTGTAACCGATCCTATCCCCACTGACATGGCCTTCGGCCCAGTGGTCGACTTACACCCTGCGTAGGTGGGAATATATGCTTACTTCGGGATTCGCGAGAGGGCCTATTCACACCCACGCGGGTGACCTGGTGGAGCTGAGATACCACAGCCTGAGATCCTACGTTGCGAAAATTACAACATCGCAATATAAGCATAGATATGCAAAAAGAGACTGGGGCTTAGGCCCCATCGATCTGCAACCATCTTTCGAGCCGGATCGGTATGTGAGGGTCCCAGGCCCCGAAACCAGGAAAACTCACCCGTTGCGAAATAAAGCGACGCCAGGATCTGAGGGAAGCTAGAAGATGCTGAGGATCGGTCAGACGATGCTGACCAGGGCTGGACCGATGCTGACGATGTTGTTTCTCGTGTTGTGTTCGTTTCGTTGATCGTTTTGCTCTACCTGTTGGCCTGTACCTCCCTGCCAAAACGAACAGCAAAACACAGCCGAAGTCCAGCAAAACAGCATTTAGGTCCAGCCCCGATGCTGACCACTGTCGCCGCCGTCGCCGCCACCGCCGCTGCGGCCTCCGCAGCCCCAGAGCACTCCGGAACGACCTCGAGGAGTTCGGGAGCGCTCTGGGAGCCCGATACAGTCTCAAGAGCCGCAGGCTCTCAGATGTATCCCCGACTCATCCCCGTCCAGACGTATCCCGACTCTGCCTTCGTCCTGACGCGGCCGTCGCCACCGTCGCCGCCGCCGCGGGCTCCTCGTGGCAGTCGGCCGCCACCGCCGCCGCTTCCGCTGTCGCCGCCGCCGCCACCGCCGTCATCTCCGCCGCCGCCGCCGTCCTCGCCGCCATCCTCGCCGTCCCTGCCGCCAGGAGGAGGAGGAGGAGGAGGAGGAGGAGGAGGAGGAGGAGGAGGACGCCGCCGCGGCCGCCGCCGTCGTCGCCGCCGCCGCGGCCTCAGCAGCTCCTCGTGGCCGTTGGCCGCCGCGTGGTGCGCGGGGCCGCGCCCCCACCGATCGCGCCCGGCGGGCGCGGCGCCGCGGGCGAGCAGCAGCTCGGCCAGCGGCCCGTGGCCCCTGCGGAGGGCGGGCGCGGTCAGCATCACATCGGCGGCGGCGGCGTCAACGACGACGGCGACGGCGATCGATCGATGGCGACCGACCACGGCGACGGCGGCGATTGGCGATTGGCGAGCAGCAGCTCGGCCAGCGGCCTGTGCCTCCTGCGGAGGGCGGGAGCGGTCAGCATCAGATGGTGAGACTTCGGGTCGACGGCGACGGCGGCGGCAGCGACGGCGGCTGGGCCAGCGCCAGGTGTCCTCTGCAGAAGGCCGGGGCGGGCAGCACCGAGCCAGCGAGTCGAGACGGATCGGGTCGGAACCCGGAGGGACGGGCCGCTGCCCGTCCCCTCGTCGCGAACTCCTGGTCAGAACGCACCCTCAGACATGCCCATGGGATCGGTACCCCCAGAAACAGACATCGAGGCCCGAGACCCCTGGTCCGATAGAGACCTCCCAGGGGGGGGCCAGATCACATGGGGTCGGAGGATCGCAGCGCATCAGAGATGCACCGGCTCTGGACTGGCGATATCGGGTGGAGACACTCGGGCTCTGGATCGCGCTGCATCGCTGGTGCATCGGCGACGCGGCGCCATCCTCCAACCCCATCTAGTACTCCAGCCCCGGTGGGGAGGCCTGGATTCGAAGTTCGAGGACCAAGAACCTGGGTAATCTACCTTCGCTGATTACGCCCCGCCCAGCGCGACGCGCTGTCATCTTCGCGCCCTCGAGAGACCCCCCTGGATAATGGCGGCGCTGCGGCCGGGACCGCGACGCCCTAGGCCCTAGTCTCGGAGACCAAGGACCCAGGATCGAAGCTTCCAGAGGGGGTCCCAAAACGATGTGGTTAAGCAACCTCGTTCTTATCCCGATACCTCAATGACAGTATCAAAAGCGATCAAAATTCAAATGCTATGACAATCTCAGAGGTGGTGCAAATCAGAAAGACAGGGATGTGTTACAGGCTGGTGAACGGTGACAGACCGTACGGTGACCTCGAAATCCAGACAGGTCTCACCACGCGGTCCGTCACCGCACGGTCTTGGATCCTGGGAGTTCGGAGGCCCCGGTCGCGCGAGACGTCCTCGCAAAACCACCCGAGCCTCAAAGACCCCGCGGTGACACCGAATCCTCACTGACTCACCAACCGGCGCAGACACCACACCGTTCGGGGTGCCCCGACTCCAGGCGGTCTGCGCTCTGTTTGGGCCTCCCGGGGGCTCCTGGGGCTCATCGGCCAGATCGAACCTCGGCCGGCGGCTGCGGTCCCCTGCAGAGGGTGCGAAGAGAGAGGCAAGCCTCAGCTATATCGAATCAACCGATGGGATCGGATCGGAAACGGATCGCCATCGAGCAGACTCGAATCGAGTCCGAAGTACAAACTAGCTGGCGAATCGAATCGCATCGACTCGGGTCGCAGTTGGCCCTGGAAGGCGAACGCGAACCCGAGGACGACGGCGGTTCAAGGCTCAGGGAGGTCCTGAAGTTTCTGCGGTTCTCGCTGCCACGGCTGGACGCAACTCGAGAGACGGGCCAGTGGATGAACTTTGGGGGGGGACGCACAACCGAAAAGTTGGACGGATGTTTTGGTGGGGGCGCGCGCGAACTCGCACCTTGATGGCCCAGCTGCGATGCGGCCTGATCCACCGCGGCGGGGCGACGGCGGGCTGCGCACGCACGCGCGCGGATTGAGCCAACGCATCGCACACAGAACAAGGGGGCACAGGGGTCTCACAAGTGTGTCACCAGCTCTCCGTGCCATCTGGGAGCCCTCTGGGGGCTCGTGGGGACTGCTCTGAAGGTCATCTGGCCCCCCAAGGAGATCCAAGGGGCACCCCGGGCAAGGAACACCTCTGGCAGCACCCGACAAGGAATCGTGACGGGAGACCGCGCAGGGTCATGCGAGGGGGCCGGGACACGCTAATATATCCTCCTCGTCCCTGCTCGCACCTCCCCGCGCTCCCGCAGTGCCCACAGAGGCTCTCGATCCCACAGCTCTTACGGACTCCGCCCCGTATGCGGTTCGCCGGTACTCCTCAAGCACGCCGAAGCGGGTTCCGGGAGGGCGTTTGGGCAGCGAACGCCCGCGCCAGCGTCGCCGCCGCGCCTAAGCTTAAGTCGGGCCTGTCCCCCTACAGGGGGATTTTGGACGACACATGGAAAAAAATAAAATACCCAAAACATGCTAAAGGAAACAAAAAAAGTCCCCAGACTAATTTAAAACTATTTATGAATATTCCTCCTGTAGGGGGACAGGTCCGACTTAAGCCTAGGCGGCGCGAGCCTGCCGCGCAGGACGGGGCCCAGGAAGCCCAGCCGGCCTGGCGCTTGGCCGGGCCAGCGGGGCGACAGCACCGATCCCAGTCGCAGGACTGGCCGGAGCAGCGCACGTGGCGGGCACACGAGCGGCCTCCTACCCTGACGCGTCGATTCACGAATCGGCCGTTTTCGGTTCGCGAGAGGGCGTCGCGGCCGTCATTTTTGCGGGTCCAGGTCCGTCGGTTTCGGCCCCAGGCCGTTTTCACAAAAGGGAGGTTTACTAAAGGGAGGTTTGTCTGCCGCCGAAAAAAGAACAGGTCTTACGAGAGGTGGCATGGCGACCTTACGCAGTGAGGTACGCGGGGCACCAGCGCGGCTCGCCACGATGGAGACGAGGGCGATCGCGCGGGCAGTTTTCGCGCCACTGTCGGCGCAGGCGGCCCCATTGTTTCTGGGCCGCTCACATGGCCACAAGAGCGCGGATCAAGAACACGAACTTGTTCACCCAAAGGCCCCCTGACTCACGGACTCGCAGAGATACCTCGAACGAAAAGCATCCCAGAGCGGAGAGCCCAGACACGAAGACAAGGGTGCTCCTCCAAATCGAGGGTTGCTCTTAATCTTCGTGCCAGCCGTAACTTGCGCCGCCCGCCCCCTCAGACCCCGAAACACACGCAGAAGTTCATCTCGGACCCCTCCCTTGGCGCGTCCTGGACAATCTCTCGAGCTGCGTCCAGCCGCGACGATGGTGCGGACACCCGCATATGCGCACACGCAAAAGCAAGGACGCGGAGACCCCGTTCAGCGATCCTCCCCTCCACGTCGTGCTCTCGCGGCGTGGGACCCCTGCACAGTGCGGGCGCGGCCGCAAGAAACCACCGCAAGAAGCCCAACCCTGAAGACCCGCGCACGAGGTGCACCTGGGGAGAAGCCCGGAGCACCCTGGACGCAGCAGCATGTTCATGGCCGCGGGAGGTCACTGCGCAGCGCGCGGGGCGAAACAACCCAGGGCACCCTGTCGAAAGGCGCACGGTTTCTTGATGCGCGCCCCCACTGTACCAAATGGACAACGACCAGCAGCGGGTCCCGTTGCGGGATGGACAGGAGCGGCGATCGGTGTTCATCCCCAATGTCCTTCCGTCCCAAGCCTGATCGCGCCGATCGAGACACTGGCCGCCACGATACGGGAGGGCCTCGAAGCACGCGCAACGTCATCTAGTCGGCCTGGGAGCATAGACGCCCCCGCTTGTCATTGCACAGACCTTGAAGACGCGCTGCAGCGGATTTTTGCATAGATTCCTGGCAATGCAAAAACCCGACACGGCGAGCGAAAAACGACGTGAATCTCACGTGATGTTTTGTAGTCTTCATTCCTGGCCCAAAAAATCTCGCGAAATTTACTTCGAAGTCCAGACCGAAATTCTCCACGACAATTCGGGCTCATCTCATTGTTTTCCGAACGAAATCCGCTCGGCGATGTTGGCGCCACGACGCTTGCCAGGAGCGCGGCGAAGTGGAGCGCGGCGAAGTGGATGGCTCCGCGGGTCGACCAGACCACGTGGCGCATGCGCAGATTGTTGCCCCCGCACCCCTGGAGGCGCCTGGCCCTGGGGCCCAAGATCGCCCTGGCTTCTGGGCGGTGCCGGCTCTGGTGGTGGACCCGGAGGAGGTGGAGGATGAGGAAGATAATGTTATTCTGTGCAGCACGTGCGCAGGGTAACAGCCATGCGCGCCAGACACAAACCCCCAGGTGCAGGCCCAGAAGGCAAGCGTATCCTGAGTTTCGTGCCGCCCGCCGAGCACAGCGAGAAGAGGAGCGCGTCTGGACACGAAGTCGCTGACGACGTAGCGGGCGACGGCGGCGGCCGCGATGGAAGAGAAGGTGGGGGGCTACGCAGAGGCGGGGCAACGCTCAGAAGCGAGGGACGACTGGGGGGGGAAACAGCACGGACAGGACGGACTGCAGAGGAAGAGGAGAGGGACGAGGAGGACAGGAACGTGGCTGGCAGTAAGGGTGAGGACAGGAAGGAGGAGGTCTTAGGCCCCTGGCGTCCATCCCCGACGAGCGCGGCCGCCGCCTGAGCACTGCCCAGTCGAAGGCGGTGCGCCCGTCGCGGTCGAGCTGGTGCACGCTCGCTCCAGCGTCGAGCATCGTCTCGACCAGCTTGGCGGCGGGGAGGGAGCGATGAGACGCAAGGGGGAGGGTGAGCCTGTTCCTCCTCCTCTTCCTGTTCCTTTTCTTCCTCCTTTTCCTCCTCATCCTCCATCGTCTGCCATACATCGTCGTATGTTCAGAGATACGTACGCACATACCTATACGACCACCCTGCGGGTGATAAGGAGGTTGTGGGGGGGTGGGGGGGAGGGGGGTGACTCATGACGACAACTGTGTTGAACGTGGCGATGATGGGCGATGATGATGCGGTAACGATGTGTTGAACCGGCGGGACAATGATGAGCAACTATGATGAGCAACCGGCGGGACAATGATGAGCAACCATGATGAGCAACCATGATGAGCAACCATGATAAGCAACCGGCGGGACAATGATGAGCAACCATGATGAGCAACCGGCGGGACAATGATGAGCAACCATGATGAGCAACCATGATGAGCAACCATGATGAGCAACCGGCGGGCAACCGACGGGACAATGCGGGCCACCGCTTGATGCCACGCACGGCACGAGCACGAACTCGAAACTCGATTTCCCGGTGGGGGGACTCCGTTACACTGCGATCTCACCCTCCAACCTCCGACATTCATACATACATCGATACACCCATACGTACTTGTATACATACACACGTGCATGCATACATACTTACCTGCACGCATGCATGCAAATATAAACACATGCATACATATATACATAGATATGCATAGATGTGCATGCATGCTACCTACATGTATGCCTACAATCATACATACACACGTGCATACATGCATATATATATATATGTATATATGCATATGTATATATGTTTACATGCATGCATACATATCTACATGAATGTACACACATGTGCATATGCCTACATGTACACAAGCATACATGCATCCATGCATACATGACACACGTACACACATACACGTATACATACATGTATGCATGCCCACATGCGTACATGCATGTATACACCCATACATCCGTGCATTCATACATACATGCATGCATGCATAGTTGCATACATACAGACATACATTTATACATACATACATAGATACATACATACATACGTACATACATACATACATACATGCATACATACATACATACATGCATGCATGCATACATACATACATGCATATACATACATACATACGAACAAACCAACAAACGAGCATACATTCATACGTACTATCAAAAAATATATATACATATCTACATACATACATACATACATACCTACATACATACATGCATGCATGCATGCATGCATACATACATGCACACATACACATATACTCACATGCATACATACTTACACGTATACGTACATGCATACAGTTATGCACACATGTATGCATGCATACATACATGAATGCAGTGTTCCCTATTGCCTGTGCCACAAGAAAAGTCAAGAGTCTATATCGAGAGCGGGCGGGCAAAGGAAAGGCGGAAGTACTCGTGCAGCGCATCTGGGATAATCACGACAGCCCGTCACCGTCCAAGCCCCTCCGCCCACACCCTTCTACTTCTGCCCCTGCCAGGCCTTCCTCCTCCGCCCCCTCACGTCACAAGAATTGCACGAAATTGGATCCCCTCCCGTACAGGATCTCACTAACGCTGGAAGTAGGGGGAACTGGGTCGAGCGATGGGGGGTTTTGCAGAGAGGGGCCACAGCACATTGAGAAAGAGGCGCCCCAGCTGCGGAGCGGAAGCTGACTGCGCGCAGCGCACGGCAGATGTCGTAGCACACCCTTACCCCATCTCCCAAAAGGCCCCCTGGAGATCGTTTTGTGTTCTGCGGCGACTGCCCGGGCTATCTTCCGGGGTGGAGTGGCAGAGGCGGCCGATGACCTACCCCTTTCCTTCACCCTGGGCAGCCCCAAATGCACCCGCGCGCACCAGTGCTGCGCGGCCCCTTCGGACCCACGCAACCGACAAGGTCAGGTTATCCGGGGGGAACGGGGGGCGGGCGGGCGGGCCCGATAACCCCACACACACACACACAAAAAAAAAAAATGCTCCCGCCCGATCCGAGAATGAAGCTCTCGCGGTGCCAGAGCATGCGCTGGATTGCCCGAGAGGGGCCAAAGGCAAAACTGCAGCCCGAGACCCCATCTTCCTGCAGTCGTTTTCGAGCCAAGTCCATCCCTTAGGGCGGGGCCCGCACCCGGGCAAAACCGCGCGGCGTGAGAAATGCGACGCCAGACCCCCGACTCCCTGATTTCGTTTTTTCCCTACGTGGACCCCAGAAAAATCTGGACCCCTTCCACGTGACTGGTGTGTTCTCTTGGCGTGTCTTGTCGGTCCAGTGGACCGGCAAGGGCCCCCCGAGGCCAAAAAGCAGCCAAAAGCTCGAAAGGATCTGGGGACGCGATGCAGAAGGATGGTGCGGCGTCGCGCGAGACCGCTGGCGGTCCCGCCTCCACGTGGCCGTGGCGGGCCTGCGCGGCCACCACCACCTCGGGTCGAACCCGGGCGGCACTCACTGCAGCGGCACAGGCACGACCGTGCCCACACTTCGCCTCCTCTGCCTCCTCCCCATCATCGTCACCATCGAACACGACCCATCATTACCACCGATGTCACATCACCCCCGTAGCCATCATCAGCAGCAGCACCATCATCAGCATCATCATTATTATTATTATTCTTATCATTATCATTATTATCATCATTATTATTATTAGTATTATTATTATGATTATTATTATCATCATCATCATCATCATCATCATCATCATCATCGTCATCATCATCATCATCATCATCATCATCATCATCAGCATCAGCATCATCATCAGCAACAGCATCAGCATCAGCATCAGCATCAGCATCATCATCATCATCATCATCATCATCATCATCTTCATCATCATCATCATCATCATCATCATCATCATCATCATCATCGTCGTCATCATCATCATCATCACCATCACCATCACCATCACCATCATCATCATCCTCGTCATCGTCATCACACATTATCAGCATCAGCATCAGCAGCATCATCATCGTCATCGTCATCATCATCACCATCAATATCATCATCATCATCATCATCATCATCATCATCATCTTCATCATCATCATCATCATCATCATTATCATCATCATCATTCTCAGCATCAGAAGCATCAGAAGCATCATCAGCATCAGAAGCCCAAACAGCAGCATCGGCATCATAATCATCGTCGTCGTTATCATCATCATCATCATCAGAATGAGCAGCAGCAACATCCTCGTCATCGTCATCGTCATCATCAGCAGCATCATCACCGCAAATCATCATCATCATCATCAGCAGCAGCATCATCATCAACATAATGAGCAACATAATCAAAACCACCATCATCGTCAGATCATTATCAACATCATGGTAATGAACATTATCATAATCATCATCATCACCATCATCAGCATGACATGCAGCATCACCAACATCACCGTCAGAGCATCATCAACAGCATCGTTATCAGCATTAGCATAGTCATCATCAGCAGCATCATCAGCAGCATCCTCACATTCATCGTCATCGTCATCATCTGTTTCGTCATCATCATCATCAAAATCATCATCATCGTCGTCGGCGTGGTCATCACCACCATCATCAGCACCGGCACCACCACCAATACCAACCACCAACACCACGACAAGCATCATCATCATCATCAGCAGCAGCAACAGCAGCAGCATAACCAGCATCATCACCATCATCATCACGATCACCATCACGTCATCATCACCAGCACCATCATCAACATCATCCTCACCATCATCATCACCATCATCATCATCATCATCATCATCATCATCATCAGTATCATCGGCATCATCACCAGCATAATCATCATCATCAGCAGCAGCATGATCAACATCATCATCACCAGCACCTTCACCATCACCATCAGCATCAAAATCATCCTTATCATCAGCGTCGTCATCGTCATCAGCATCAACATCAGCATCATCATCGTCATCGTCATCGTCATCATCATCCTCGCGATCGGCACTATAATGACCATCAGCATCATCAGCAGCAACCTCGTCGTCGTCGTCCTCACCTCCACCATCACTACATAACAATGTTAATAATCGTCGTCATCATCATCACAATCAGCATCATCATCAGCATAATCATCCCTCATCATCATCATCATCATCATCATCATCAGCAGCAACACCATCATCGGCATCATCGTCATCATCAGCATCATCATCAGCATGGTCATCATCATCATCCTCATCATCATCAGCAATATCAGCATCAACAGCATCAGCATCAGCGTCGTCATCAGCACCGTCATCACCATCATGAGCATCATCATGAGCATGATCAGCATCAGCATCATCATCTTCGTCATCGTCATCGTCATCGTCATCGTCATCGTCATCAGCAGCATCGTCAGCATCACCCTCAGCAGCAGCATCATCATGACCATCATCAGCAGCAGCAGCAGCAGCAGCAGCAGCAGGGCTCGGGCCGCCGAGATCGGCCTGTTTCCCCATGCGGGGCCCCTTCCCCAAAAGCCCCAGGGCCAACTTTCGTCCCCAACATTTTGTTCGATGGCCCTGGAGCCCGAACACGGCCTCCAAACGCTGGAAATGCCCCCCCCTCTCCTGTCCTGATCATTCCGGGGGCGACAATAGGGGCGAATAGCCCAACTGGCGGGCACTACGCGTATTCGCCAAGGAGCCTCGCCGAAAACAAGGACCATCAGCGCCACTGGTTAACTGGCAGCTGGCAGTAAACCGTCAATCTGGTTACTGCTGGGGACGTCGTAGAGCTCCCTGACGAAATTTCGGCACCAGGAGTAGCCCATGATGCCACAGGCAAATTTTCTGATCATTTCAGCAACTCGGGACATCCGTACTGTTTGGAATATGTAATGCCCGCCCATGAATGAGCGATTCGCCCCTATCCAAGGAGCCCACACAGAACGTACGCGCCCAACCACGTACATGGACACGGCACCCCAGTCCGCGAGATAGGCCGCGTGATATGAACGTTCGCGCAATGCGCACTCTCGAAACCAATTGGATTTATGTAGAGACCATGTTTTAATTTTTTGGGGTAACGGCTGTTACCCCGGGGGGCGGGGAGGGTTGGGCAGGCGGGTAACGATAACGGCGGCCGCGGCGTGCGCCCGCCAGGATGCATCCGCGCCATCGGCACATCAATTGCCATACCTGCTGAGAGGAGGGAGGTCCGGTCCGCCCTCCACCCCCACAAAACGTACGATCGTTAGCGTTACCCGGGAGGGGGGGGGAGGGGGGCCGGGCCCCGGTAACAGCCGCTACCCGCCAGAAAAAAAAAAAAAAAAAAAAAAAAAAAAAAAAAAAAAAAAAAAACGCTCTCGTAGGCGTGCGTGCTTCTTTCGCTCCTGAAGCCTGGCGCCGGGGGCGGCCGCCAGGGCGGAAGCGGAGCCACCAAGCGGAAACGCCCCTCCCCCCCTCGTCGGTGCCCCTGCCACAGCTGCTCCGGCTGCTCCTGCCGCTCACCGGCATCGTCGCACGATCGTCGCCTCCGATCCTTTCATGGCGTTGGAGCTCCAGCACGCGGAGCAGAGCAGCCGTACCAGCGCGCTCCCGAGGCCGGGGCGGCAGTCCTGGGCGACCCTGGGGCGGCCGTTTCCAATCTCTTGGAGACCCAGTATCGGCGGCTTCAAGCCCAGGGGGAAGTGAGAAGGGGCAGGCCTTCTCAGAAGGCCTGGAAGTCCCCCGGCCTTCTGAAACGTTTCCTGGGCCTTCCCCGAAGACGCAGAGAACCTCTCAGAAGGCGCGAGGCTTTTTGAGAAGCCCCCGCAGCCTTCTGAGAAAGCCTCCTCTCCTCCCTTTCACTTCCCCCCCTCGCTCACCGCCGACAATCTGTCGGGTGTTGTCAGAGGTGTTCCTGGCACAAGGCCCGAGGCATCCGCAGGGTTCCCTCGGAGGCCCAGATGACAGATGGCCTCAGGAGACCCGCACGAGGACTGCTTACAGGGCCCCAGGGGCGCCACAATGGCGCGAAGAGCTGGGGACGCCCTTGGGCCAGGACCGCCTGCCTCCGGCAGCCCCCGACGCTTCCGCCGTTTTACCTGCCCGCCGGCATCCGTCGTCGTCTGCCCCTCCTCTGGAGCGGCTGCGGCGGCGGCCACGGCGGCGGCCACGGCGGCGACAGCGGCGGCGGCGGCGGCGGAGGCGGCGGCGGCGTCTCCCGCGGCCCCGGGGCCGCCGGCGGGCGCCCGAAGGAGTCGGCCCGCGCCAGCGCCGCGGCGGCGCGAGCCGCCGGGGCGGCCTCGAGCAGCGCGGAGGCCGCCTCGGCGGCTCCGCTCTCGGCGGCGGCGTGCAGCGCCGTGTAGCCCCACCTCCCGCCGCCGCTCGCCCCCTGCACCCTGAGGGTCCGCGCCCCTCGAATGAGGCGAAGCCAGGGCGAGGATAAAATCGGGTGGGGATACATCGAGAATCTCCGAGATCTGGTTGCTCTGGAGGATGTATCGGGCGCCCTGGCCTTCTCACAGCGCTTCCGAACGCTATGAGAGCGTTCCAGAAGGCTCTTCAGAGGGTTCTGGAACGGCTTTTTCCTCATCCTAATCCCGTCCGATCTTACGGGGACTCCACTAACGGGTACTTTGGCCAGTGAACCGGCGAACCCAGCCCTCCCCGACGTGGGCAACACTGCAATCCCAGAAAGAGGACATGAATTGGCAGCCTTCGATGAATGACCAAAGTACCCGCTAGTGAGTACCACTTACGTTGCCGCTGCACCTTGCGCCCCCTCCACAAGGTGCACAATGTGCAGAGAACCAAATCAGTTGGAGCGCATCCGTGGATGTCTTTGGGTGTCTTGGCTGTCCGAGGAAGCCGGCGGATGTCGTTGCTCATGTCCGTAATTTGCGTAACCTGGAGCATTCCCAATTACGCCAGTTACGAAGACGAACAACGATCAGGAGGCAGGGGCCGAAGCGAGAGGTCGAGCAGGATATCGACTACAACACTGATGTACAACAAAAATGAAATACTTCGGCGAGGCTACAAAAAAAGCGCGTACAGTTGTTGTACATGTGCGAAAGTTCCACACGGGTGTGGTAGATTCGACGGGAAAAACAGCTTTGGGGTAAAGCAGTGCTGTAGTCTCTATATCCGACTCGAGGAGTCGGGCACGCCTACCCTGATATCCGACGTTCCGATTACTCTCACTGTAGGACCCCGCGCGATAACTGTTTTAGCTTGCTCCTCGCCCTTTTCTTTTGCAGCTGGCGGAGGCCTGTGTTGTTCCGCCCTCTGCGTCCTCCTCCTCCTCCTCTTTTTCCGGATCCTCCTTCTCCTGTTCCTTCTCGTCCTACTCGTTGCAGGTCTGTTCCTTTCCTCCTCTTCCGCCTCCTCTTCCTCCTCCTCCTCCTCCTTTTCCTCCTCCTCCTCCTCCTCCTCTTCCTCCTCCTCCTCCTCCTCACTCTCCTCTTCACGTTCCAACTCTTCCTCCTCGCCATTGTCCTCCTTTTTCTTGTCCTCCACCTCCTACTCCTCCTCCTCCTCCTCCTCCTCCTCCTCCTCCTCCTCACTCCTCCTCCGCCTCTCCCTCCTCCTCTCTCCTCCTCCTCTTCCTCCCCCTCCTCCTCTTCCTCCTCCTCTTCCTCCTCCTCCTCCTTCTCCTCCTCCTCCTCCTCATCGCCACCCCGGACGCTGTCTTCGTGCGCATATCCTTCCTCGTGGCACGAGCGCGCATGTCGATGTTCCTCGGCGTCGTCGCCGCCTCGGCCAGCACGGGCGCATTATCTAATGGCCACGTCGCGCAACCGTTGGGACAAACCCACGGGCCAGGCCGTCGGGACAACCCCGCGAGCCGCTAGCGCGCGAAACATTTCCTCGCGCTTCACTCACGGACGAGGTTCCCGCCTGATATTTCCGTCATATTCAGGCCTCAGGAGCCCCAAAGTGACGATAGTTACAGGAGGCCGATGACCCGCCTAGGACCCGAACATGAAGCGCAGGCACCAGGGGGGGGGGCTCCCGCCTGAGACTTCCTCGCAAGTCACTCACAGACGAGGCTCCCGCCTGATAAGTCCTCCATATTCAAAGCTCAGGAGCCCGAAAATGACGACAATTACAAGAAGCCGATGACCCGCCTCGGATTCAAGCAGAAGTACGGGCCCCCAATTGGAGGGGGCTCCCGCCTGAGACTTCGTCCATATTCAGGCCTCAGGAGCCCAAACGTGACGACAGTTACACGAGGCCGATGATCCGCCTAGGATGCGAACATGAAGTGCAGGCACAATAGGGAAGGGGTTCCCGCCTGAGACTTCCTCGCAATTCACTCACAGACGGGATTCCCGCCGGATACGTCCTCCATCTTCAGGCCTCGAAAACCAAAAGTGACGACAATTACAGGAGGCCGATGACCCGACTCGGATTCGAACATGAAGTGAGGCCCCATAGGGAGGGGGCTCCAACCTGCGACTTCCTTGCAATTCACTCACAGACGAGGCTCCCGCCCGAGACGACACACAGGCGAGTGATGGTCATGATGATGTGAGTGATGATGATGAATGAGATGGTGATGAGGTTAGTGGTGATGATGGTGTATGAGTCTTTGAGTGCTTGATAGTGCGATCGTGTGTGGTGGGTGTGTGACTGATGATAATGGGGTGAATGATTGAGTGTGGGTGACAGAATTTGCGTAATAGAGTGATCGTGTGGTGTGTGTGTGTGTGTGTGCGTGACTGGTGATGGTGGCGAGAATGATTGAATGAGTGAGTGTGCGAAGGGAGAAGAAGCTGAAGGTGTTATAATGATGATGGTGCGTGAATGATTGAGCGAGTGAACGTGTGAAGGTAGAAGAGGAGAGGGGGTGAGGTGACAGGACTGCGCGGGGTGTCCAGAGAAAACAAGACACCCCCTTATGAAATGGAAAAAACTGAAAAATCAAGGCTGGAGCCATAGACCCTATATGTCCATGCAATGTTTGGAGCCAGACGGATTTGTGATGGTCCCACAGCAAAAGCGCCTGTTGTGTGAAACAAATGCGACGCCAGGATGTCAGGGTCACGCCCCGTTGTTCGATCCTCGAGCCTCCATGGCTCCTCGATCGTTCCCGCTCGATCCTCGATCCTCGCCTCGATCCTCGATTGTTGACCACTGATCCTCGATGGTCGATCCTCGATTGCTGATCCTCTGATGCAGCGCCCGCTGCGCAGAAATTGCTTCGCGGAGGTCGAAGCGGGCCGGCTGCGCCAGTGGAGAACACGCGCAAGGGGCCCCGCAAGGGTCGTTTTGTGTTCTTCGGCAATAACCCCCTCCTCACACATCCTCCTCCTCCACCTCCTCCTCCTCCTCCTCCTGCGCCTCCACCTCCTCCCCTCCTCCTTTTCATCCTCCCGCTCCTCCGACTCCCCCACTTCCTCCTCCACCTCCTCTTCCTCCTCCTCCCCCTCTTCCTCCTCCTCCTCCTCCTCCTCCTCCTCCTTCGCCTCCTCCTCCTCCTCCTCATCCTCCTCTTCCTCCTCTTCCTCCTCTTCTTTTTATATATTAGTATTTGGATTAGTATTCGCATTAGTATTATTATTGCTATCCGTGTGAACCTTCTTATTAGTATGCATGTTTTTGTTTCGTATTAACATTCTTCGTTTTCTTATGATTAATTAGGTCCCACTATTATTTGCATTCGCATTAATATTCGTATTATCCGTCTGTTATTATTATTAATATTATTATTGTTATTCGTATGTTGACAATGTGCGTCTTACTCTTACTATTAGTAGTATTAGTATCCGTCTGTTTCGTCTTATTGCTTTTTATTATTCTTATGTTTTTTTTATTATTAGTCTTACTCTTATTATGAATTTTATTGTTCTTATTATACTCCGTCTCCTTCTCCTCCTCCTCTTCCTCCTCCTCATCATCATCATCACCACACGTGTTCTCCTCCCACGTTGGAACATTATGTTTCATTCTTCGGCGGTAACCTAGATTATCCAAAAGGGTTGCGAGGCACTGGCCGATGACTTACCCTGTTCTCTTCGGGCAGCCCGACGTTTGCCCGCACGCACCAATACTCCGTACCCCTTTTCGGACCTACGCGACTGAACTGGTTAGATTATCCGGCGGGGGCGGGCGGGCCGGATAACCCGGATTCTCGCCAGACCCTTTAAAAATCCCCAGGAGACCCTGAGAACCTGGAGTTGCAACTGTGTGCGATGATGCACCGCGGCCCTGGAATGTCCCAAGTCGCGACAAAGGCACGACAGGCGGTTTGGGGTTGTTTTCGGCCTCTGGGGCCCCTCCCTGGTCCGCTCGACGGTCAAAAAAATGGCCCGAAATCAAAACAGGTCCCGTGGAAGGGGTCCAGACATCTGGGGGCTCACGCCATGGAAACAACTCATAACGTCGGGTGTCTGGCGTTGCATTTTTTGCACAAAAGGCGACGTCGCCTCGCTTCGGGCCCGAGGACCCTCACGGATCCATCCGGCTCCAGGAGTGCCGCAGAAAAATGGAGTCGCGTGCGCAGGCCGAGCTGCTTTACGATGCTGCAACTTGTCCGTGGCGTCAGATCTCAGGGTCCCGTCGTCGCTCCTCCGCCTCCTCCTCCTCCTCCTCCTCTTCCTCCTCCTCCTCCTTTTCCTCCTCCTCCTCCTCCTCCTCCTCCTCCTCCTCCTCCTCATCATCATCATCACATCATCATCATCATCATCATCATCATCATCATCATCATCATCATCATCATCATCATCATCATCATCATCATCATCATCATCATCATCATCATCATCATCATCATCATCATCATCATCATCATCATCATCATCATCATCATCATCATCATCATCATCATCATCATCATCATCATCATCATCATCATCATCCATCATCATCATCATCATCATCATCATCATCATCATCATCATCATCATCATCATCATCAATCATCATCATCAGCGTCAGCATCAGCATCATCATCATCATCATCATCATCATCCTCAGCATCATCATAATCATCAGCATCATCATCATCATCATCATCATCATCATCATCATTCATTATCCTCCTCCCCTGCTCCTCCTCCTCGTCCGCCTCCTCCCCCTCCTCCTCCTCGTCCTCCTACTCCTCCTCCTCCTCCTCCGCCTCCTCCTCCTCCTTGTCCTCTCCCTCCTCCTGCTCCTCCTCCTCCTCCTCTTCCTCCTCCTCCTCCTCCTCCTCGTATATGTTCTACTTCCCAAGGCGGAGGAGGTCTGCGACGCACCTCAGCCGACACGGGACCTACCCCTCCCGCTGGGTGACGCCCCTGGAGGCGCCAGCCACTTACGTCACCAGCAGGGAGGGTGGATCAGTCTCGGAGTCGAAACTGCGCATGCTGATTTGGGGCCTCTGGTCGCAGGAATCCCACCTCACGCTCAGCTC